TCCGCCTCCAGGCTACCGCCCGGGGAAGAAAGGGGCTGGCAGCAGGTGCTGTGCCGCAGCCCAGCCCACTTGCCCAGAGCCAAGGTCTCCCCGGCCGTCCAAGATTTCCTGTGTGCTTTTGGGCTGGTCACTTAACCAACCCTTTGCCATGGTTTCCCATGTGTAAAGTGTGCATAATAGCGCTTCCCTGCAGGGAGACAGATACATGCATTATTGCAAGATAGATGCTCAAATTCTAATGGGATGGACACGGTATAATACAGCCACAAAGAAAATTATTTTTGATTTTTTTGGGTGTGTGGTGGGAGAATAGGTGTTTCCATCACTTTGTCAAGGTAATATTTGGTAAATTCAGATCTGTTTCTTCTGAGATGAGGTGTACCAACTATTTGCAGCACTACATTAAATTTCTGATCTAAATATTTTTAATTCATTAAAAAAAGGAAAAAAATCTAAACAAATTAAAATGAATGTGCATGTAGGGTCTTTGTGATCCATATTTTTAACAAGCCAAGAAAAACCAACCAACCAATCAACACCTCTACCCTAAAAAAAGGTTTATGCATTTCCAAAGAACAATTCCAGCCATTGCAGGTTGTTCAGTAATATATAGAATTCTCAAATTTATTTATTATTCAGCATATAATGTGCAATTATCTGGTGGATTCTAAGCACAAATATAAAAGGTAAAACAATAAACTCACAACAATTTCAAACTAAATAACACTGGCCCTCGTATATCCTCCCTAAGTATATTATTTTCTCCAGGCATAGTCAGTTTGAATACATGGATCAGTCTTGAAAATGTTGTGATTATTTGGGCTTTTTCTGTGCTCTTGTATATTAACTTTCTTAAATGAATACAAATGTTTCTCAAGAAAAAAAAATGCCCAGCCTCCAGTCTCCTGATGTTTACCTTTAGGGACTGCTAGTGAAAGGACCTCAACTGTTCTCAACTGCCATTGAGGGAATTGAGTGCTGTCTAGTTTGTTGTGTAAAATGCAAGAATGAGTGTTTGCACTATGTAGTTTTGTCAGTAATGTTGTATGCATAAATGTTTAGCTTTGCCTGCAAAGCCTTAACTACTGTTGAAGCGATCTGAAACTTTGTTTCAGTTTCTGTTTCATTAGTGGCCAGAGGATCAGAATAGAAATCCACGGGTTCATTTACTGAACACTGAGATATAGGAGGTTGTTGCAGAATAGTATCCCTTTCTTTAAATAGAAATCAATGTTGTGTGCAGTCAGCACACACCTCACTTCATGTCCTTGTTCTACGTGCGTGTCACTTTAGTAACACAGGTAGGGAAAAAATGACATGGAAACCAGTAGAATCAGACAACCCTGCACATGAGTAACGATAAAATGTCTTGCAGGCCACACACAGAACCCCGATTGGGCCACATGTGGCCCCCATGGACCTCAAGTTGCCTACCACTGCTATAGTCTCCCTCTGGGCTCCCAGAATTTATCTAACAGCAACTTTACTAATAAAAGTGCAACCAGAAAGTGTCAGTGATCCATATTCTGAGACTTTTTTGCTTAGTGTGAAGATTAAACTCAAGTCCGTTATGCAGCCTCATTTGCCTATTTATCATTCCACCACAGAAATAACTTAGAGTTAAAGTTTGAAAGCTGCATATTACATAAAATATTTACTTACTTTTTTTACTGCTCTACTATTGCTTTGAGGAAAAGATGAAGCCATTTGGAATGCTGGGGGCATTGACACATTTTCAGTAAAATACTCAGGTATCAAATTTTACATTGATCCAGAGTTCTCTACCTGCATGTTGTGAGGGAAAGTATAAACTGCATTATAATATTTATTGACATAGTGTGAAGAGTGGGGAAGACAGTCTACATTTTTTTTACGGTGATGTTATTGTTGTTGCTAATGTTCATTTTGCCTCTGCGTGACTAACCTAACACGGTGTCAGAAGACAAACAATAGACACTACAGACTTTTGTCAGAATGCCAAAGTTCCGTGCACCAGAGAGTGTCAACTTCAACAGACCATCAGACTGGCCTAATTGGAAGGAGTAATTTGAATGTTTCTGCATCACAACTAAACTCCATGACAAGAGTAGAGCGATTCAGTGTAGTTCCATAGTCTATGCAATGATCATGGGTTGGAAAACTGAACATATCTTTAAATCCTTTGCCTTTGAAGAGGAGACCCACAAGAATAATTACTGTGCTGCTGGCTATGTTTATAATATTTTTGTACCGCACCATAATGTGGTTTATAAGTGAGCATGTTTCTACCAGCATGTCCAAAAATGTGAGGAGGAGTCTGGATTCTTTTATAAGAGACTTGTGTGGCATGGCAGAAAACTTTGGAGACAAAAAGGAAAGAGCGTATTACACACACAGTAGTGATTTGCGTTTTAGATAAGGGCCATTCAGAAAAACTGCAAGTGAAGAGAGATTTAACCTTTTACAGAGCAATAGAAATGTTAAGACAACTAGAAATGGTTTAAAAAATCGAAATAGATATCACTGGACACCAGAAAGTAACTTAGAAGAAGTGACTTAGAAATAGAACCACTATTGGAGATATAGCACAGCTGCAAAAAGGAAGTGAGTGTAATAAGTTCTCAGAGTTTGGTGTAGTAAGCGCCAAGCAAAATCTAACACTTTTCAGACTACATGCATAAATTGTGGAAAGATTACTGTCCAAGAGGTGATTGCCCTGCTAAAGCAGCCAAATACTTTAAGTCCATAAAAATTCGACATTTTGCCGCTGTCTGCCACAAACCCTGCTGTTCTTTGTGGGAGTAGTGCTTTGGTTTCAGTTTCAGCCCTGGGTCCTAGCAAGTCTAATGCTGGCCCTGGCAAACTCATTACAATGGATTTGCAACCTATTCTGGAGTCTGAGCCCATAGTTTGAGAATTGCTGGCGTAGGTGTTTGGGCTTGGCCTGAAGCCTGGGAAGGGGTGGGCTTTAGATCCCAAGCTTCAGCCTGAGCCTGAACTTGTGCACAACTGTTTTTACTGCTGTGGTGTAAACTCTGAAAACTTGAGTTTTTGTGGAAAGACTTTGCATTTTCAGACATATTTGGGTGCAGATGTAACGGTCATATTAGAAGGGACTTGTCATAGAGCTGAAATGAGCAGATGCTGGCCTAAATAGCCCCACAGGACAGCTTTTCTTAGGAACAATAGAAAAAGGCAAAAGCTTTAATATTAATGTGGATGTGATTAGAGGACTGGAGGCTGACAATCTCTAGTGTCTTAGTGTTGTTGCCATGATGAATCTAGTGAGAAAGCTGGAAAATTGATGGACTATTTGGTGATATTGGTCTTTTAAAAGATCCACTAGAAATAATATTAAGAGATAATACCATATAGCATACACATGCCATGCAGAATTCTTATTCCATTATTTCATAAAGTAAAACTGAGTTAAAGAGAATGGAAGAGAATGACATAATTGAAAGAGTCTTTGAGCCCACTGCATGGTACACATTGATAGTACCCGAGTTAAAATGGGAATATACAAATCTGTGTGGCTCATAAAATACTTAATTAAGCAGTAGAGAGAGGAAAATATATCCTGCCAATACTAGAATTCCTCCATAAAGTGGCAGGAGCTAATATATTCCGCAAGTTAGATGCCTCAAGTGGTTTCTGGCAAATGTCTTTAGCCAAAGAAAGTGCTAAATTAACTACATTCATTATGCTTTTTAGGAGATTTTGTTTTTAACAATTATCTTTTGGGTTTTGCAGCACTCCTGAAATTTTTCCAAGAAATATGGGAAAGCCCCCTACCCTGAAGGTCCTGAGCAATGCTGCATAAATCTCCTTGTAGTAACATATAGGGTTGCCAGGTGTCCGGTTTTGAACCGGAGAGTCTGGTATTTGAGTGTTCTTTCTGGGAAAAAAATTAAGAAAATACCGGACATATAAAATGTCTGGTATTTTCTAATTAGGTAGGTCTTATTATTAATAGGGGTATCAGTACCTAGTTGTGAACTGCCTGGCAGTACACAGCTACACGAGGGAGGGAGGCGGGGTCGGGGCGGGATGGAATCCCTGGGGCTGGATTTGCTTGTGCTTCGCCGGGACCTTGCGCAGGATGGGCTGTGCCCCGGATCTGCGAGTGCCTGGGTCAGTCCTGCTTCCTGCCGGCTGATTCTCTCCCCCCGCTTCCTCCTCCCGGCCAGTCCCGCTTCCCCTGACCACCTCCTGGCCAGCCCTGCTTTCTGTCGGCCGGTCGCCCCCCCCCACCCGATCTCCCCTGGCCAGCCCTGCTGCCCCCGACTCCCCCCCGCCTGCTAGCCCTGCTTCCTGCCAGCTGGTTCCCTCCTGCCCCCCACACACACATCCTCCTGGCCAGCCCCGCTCCCTCCCAGCCGGTGTCCCCTCCCCATCTGAGATCAAGTGTATCCGGTATTTTTTTGAAGCCACCTGGTAACCCTAGTAACATATCTAAATTTCATGTTATCAATGCTGTGAATAATTTATGCATATAAGAAGTAAATGCTGCCTTGACACATTATAAGATAATTGGTTAAGGCACTTGTTACTTGTACTGATATTCTTAAATTGGCTGTATTGAGTTGGTGGGTTTTTTTGATGGCTAAACTGGCATTGTTTTATTAGTGATCTAGCAAATAATTATGATTCAATCTACTCACATACCACATGATATTACAAGAAGAGGGTAAGTTGATTGCTTTCAGTGAGCATATCTGTGAAGTGCAGAGTAGTACAGTGTAGTGATGCACAAGGGAGGAGATGTAAATCCAAAATCTTAATTATAGAATCATAGAAGACTAGAACTGGAAGGGACCTTGAGAGTTCATCAAGTCCAGTCCCCTGCCCTCATGGCAGGATGCAGTACCATCTAGAATCTCATGTTTTCTGACTCTTCTGGTTGCTTTGCATGGATTTTTGTGTTTTTTGCCTTCTGTAGTTGATTTGCATGGATTCCTAGTAGCACTCAAATGCAATACTTTGTAAAAGGTGTTTAGCACTGAGATATAAGTCTGTCCATGGCTCTTGTGTAAAGTACTTTGTTATATTTGTGAGGCTTCTTTTACATTTAGACAGGAATTTTCAGCAGAAACAATTTTTGTAGGAAAATGCTAATTCATTGAAATCAAAATTATCTCTGGGGAAAATGTTGCTTTTGATGAGTCACCCAATTTTAAAAAAATGAATATTGAACATTTGGAATTGTTGAAACATCTTGTTTGACATTTTTGAAGTTTAATTATTTTCTTTTGAAGTCACTTTTAATTTTTACATTTGTGTTTTGAAATGTTAAAAAATAGAGAAAGGTTAGAATTGAAATGAAACATTTTGATTTGTCCTGATAAGAAATTCATTTTTGGACTGCTGGTTTGTGAAAATGTTTTTAAATTGTGACATTTCATTCTGATTTAGGACAATTTTTTTTCTCCAAAATCCTGAAAATTCTCATGCCACAAGAAAACCATTTCCTATTCAGTTCTAGTTGAACTGATATCTAGTATTTAGTTAAAAACTATCAAGGACCTGATCCAACTCCCTCTGAAGTCAGTGGAAAGACCCATTGACCGTGTGAGGAGTTTTGAAACTCCCACTGATTTTACTGGGAATTGGATCAGACCCCAAATGCTGGAAAGCTAATCTTCCAAATATAGCATCTTAAAAAACAAACTCATAAAATTAAGATTGTATCTTCAACTAGTCTCTATTGGATTTTGGTTCATATTATATAGTTTCATATAATTGGAAGTCTGAACAAAGCAGAGGCTTTGTGGCAGTTTTGCCATTCATTTTAGTGGGGTCAGAATTTCATCCTAGGATTTTGATAGGAAACAAAGTCAGGACTATAATACAATGTTGGGCAACCTGTGCCCTGTGGGCCACACACAAAACCCTGATGGGCCACATTTTGTTTACTGTTACCCACATGTGGGATTACCAGACCCTCCTGGTTTCTGTCCTTGTAGTTTTTTTCTCCTGCCATGTTACTAAAGGCTACGTCTAGACTACATGCCTCTGGTGACAGAGGCATGTAGATGAGGCTGCCAGGCATAGGAAAATGAAGCAGCGATTTAAATAATCGCCGCTTCATTTAAATTTACATGGCTGCCACGCTGAGCCGACAAACAGTTAATCAGCTGTTTGTCGGCTCAGCGCTGTAGTCTGGATGCGCGGGTGTCGACATCAAAGGCATTTGTCGACCACCCATGTATGCCTCCTGGGATGAGGTTTACCTGGGTGGTCGACAAATGCCAGTGACACACACACGTCCAGACTACAGTGCTGAGCTGACAAACAGCTGATCAGCTGTTTGTCTTTGTCGGCTCAGCGTGGCAGCCATGTAAATTTAAATGAAGCGGCGATTATTTAAAACGCTGCTTCATTTTCCTATGCCTGGCAGCCTCATCTACATGCCTCTGTCGCCAGAGGCATGTAGTCTAGACGTAGCCTAAAGTGATATGCATGTGAAGCAAAGGAACATGAAGTGAGGTATGTGTGGGTTGCACACAACACTGACTGTGAGGGTACGCTTAAACTACATGGCTCCGTCGACGGAGCCATGTAAATTTGTTTGTTCGGCAAAGGGAAATGAAGAAATTTCCTGACTTTGTTTCCTATCAAAATCCTAGGATGAAATTCTGACCCCACTAAAATGAATGGCAAAACTGCCACAAAGCCTCTGCTTTGTTCAGACTTCCAATTATATGAAACTATATAATATGAACCAAAATCCAATAGAGACTAGTTGAAGATACAATCTTAATTTTATGAGTTTGTTTTTTAAGATGCTATATTTGGAAGATTAGCTTTCCAGCATTTGGGGTCTGATCCAATTCCCAGTAAAATCAGTGGGAGTTTCAAAACTCCTCACACGGTCAATGGGTCTTTCCACTGACTTCAGAGGGAGTTGGATCAGGTCCTTGATAGTTTTTAACTAAATACTAGATATCAGTTCAACTAGAACTTTGAGAGCCTTGTGCTTCCTTTGCATCCAATCAAAGTGCTGCTGTGGTTCAGTTAGCGCTCCTCACAAACTCTAGGTTTGCAAACACAGTTAGCAAAACAACCCTAACTTGGGTGACCGTCTTTCTTATGACAGTCTTGTGGCCTACTGAGAGGAAGGGCGGAGTGGCCTACTGTGGCGGACTGGGCCAGATTTGGGCACTGCTGAGGGCGTCAGCTGAGGGCAAATTGCTCAAACCAGGGCTGCTTACAGCCCTCGACTGGAGACCTTTCCCAAAATAGGCCACAAACCAGTCACATAGAGAGCTTCAGCTGCCAATCTGACCAACAGGAAGCCTCACAAGCAACACCCCTCAGACACCCAGCTCTCCCTGTGCCATAATCAGCCCTGGGCCTTACACACAGGTGAGAGGTTATAAAACCCGATCTCACCAACTCCGAACAAATCCTCCCAGTCCCAAGGAACCAGCCACAGTCCCGATCAATTTACACTTTAGATCTTACCCACAAGAGCACACCGAGCCAATCCTTTAAAATCTAAAGGTTTATTAATAAAAGAAAGAAGAGGTTGAGAGCAAGATTGTTAAGAAGAATACATTACATACATCAATTACCAAGTTCTTGATGCAGGTCCTTATCAGACATGTTACAAACTGCTGGCTTAAAAGTCTCTGGTGTACATCCTATATTAGGATGGGTCAGTAATCCTTCCTGGCTCTCCGTCCCTAGCAAGGATGCATCTGGAATCAGTAGCAAGATTGAAGACAAGATGGAGACAGCTTCATGGCGCTTTTATATTCCTGGTGTCTCCCAAACTGGAGCTGGTCACATGATCAAGTGACCTATCTGTGTTTCACATGCCAGCAGCCATGAGGTACTGGCTGGTCTGCAGGCTTCTAGATGCATTCCTCAGGTGTGTATTGGCCTCTCCAAGAGAGCCATTGTCCATGAAGCAGTGCTAGTTAGCATAGCCATTCACTGAACAATCCTTTCTCACAATAGGCAGTTGAGGCCCATTGCTCCCTCCCAGACAGAGAATATTTACAATACAAGAACAGAGCCTATATTCATAACTTCACATACAAAAATCATACAAGTATATGAGTGTCATGCATAGAATCAGCAGAGCATAAGCTTTCATTTGACACCTCATATGGCCCACTTTGTACAGGATTTGGGGCAAACGCCACCAGTGGGTACAACAGTGATCTGTCTGCTCACCTAGTTTAGTGAGTGATACCCACTCACTAAACTAGGTTGCTATGATGCATTAAGTTGCTTAATGGGGAAGTGCTATTCTTTTAGGAGCTTGAAACGAACAGTTTAAAAATATTTATACTTTTAAAAAGTCTTCTTCATTTCATTACCTTTCATGTCATTTAATGTATTTTAACTGAGATGTAGAACATAGATGGCAAAGAATGCACTGAAAAGGTAACACAGCTTTAGACTCCAACACCACTGCAATCTACTATATATTTGAGAGAATTCGTCTGTCTGTCTGTTCGTTCAAGAACTCCTAAACACTAAGGCTACGTCTACACTGGCATGATTTTCCAAAAATGCTTTTAACGGAAAAGTTTTCCGTTAAAAGCATTTTCGGAAAAGCACGTCTAGATTGGCACGATGCTTTTCTGCAAAAGCACTCTTTGTGGAAAAGCGTCCGTGGCCAATCTAGATGCGGTTTTCCGCAAAAAAGCCCCGATCGCCATTTTTTGCAATCGGGGCTTTTTTGCAGAAAACAGTACTGTGCTGTTTACACTGGCTGGCCCTCTTGCGCAAATCATTTGTGCAAGAGGGCTTTTGCCCGAACGAGAGCAGCACAGAATTTCCGCAAGAACACTAACGATCTTACATGAGATCATCAGTGTTCGTGCGGAAATTCAAGCGGCCAGTGTAGATAGCTGGCAAGTTTTTCCGCAAAATCAGATGATTTTGAGGGAAAACTTGGCAGTCTAGACACAGCCTAAGGGTATGTCTACACAGCAAAGTTATTTTGAAATAACAGCCGTTATTTCGAAATAAATTTCCTAGCGTCTACACAGCCAAACCGCTATTTCGAAATAAATTTGAAATAGCGAAGCACTTATTTCAAATTTGGTAAGCCTCATTCTACGAGGAATAATGCCAAATTCGAAATAGATATTTTGAAATAAGTGCTGTGTAGACACTTATTTCGAAATAGGGGGCCTCCAGCCTTCCCAGGGTGACCTGGTGGCCACTCCAGCCTCAACCAAGAATACTTCTCTCCCTCCTCTCCCTCCCCGGAGCCCTTAAAGGGGTAGACTCTGGCCACAGTGCCTGTGCCAGCTTCAAGCCTGCCAGCCCAGAGCCAGCAGTCACTGCCG